GGGGGGGGGGGGGAGTGTAATCTGATGCGCACCAGGGGGTTTGACAGTCGAGTCGCAAACTGGCCGAAGGAATGGTATGGTCGGGAGGCAAGTGAAAATAGTAAATAGTCGTAGCAATTGGAGGCACGATTGAATTGGAAGGCTCTCGCTGGTTTGAAAGGAATGGTAGAAGAGAGAGAGGAGGGGAAAAAGGTGAAGTTGTCAATCGGGGATCTTGCAGCAGCAACAGCAATAGCAAGTAGCGCAGCAATGAGAGACCCTCTCCTCGTCAGGAGGGAACCAAGCCGGGCCTCAGCCACTTCCGCGGCGGATCCGGCTGCGGAAAGCTGGAGGAATGTTAATGCGCTGTGGCGGTGCATGCAGGGATCGGACTTAATTTCCTGCATTCGGCCTGCTTATCGTCATTGGTACTGGTGAAGTTAGCCAATGCTTGTCTAGAAACAATGATGGCGCCGCCTCATCTCACCTGGCACATTAATTTAAAACCTAGACTCAGCATAGCCTATGAGACATCCAGACTTGACTCTGCTGTATCACCATACAAGAAGAATCCCCACCCCAACCCCTCCCGGTTCCTACAGGAAGGCACTGTACCGTCCGTCGTACCTATCTACTTGATGCACGAACCGTTGTGACTAGTGATTTCGGATGCAACCTTATCGGATCCCAGGGTCTGCATCCCGGCGGGGACAAGGGAGATTTTCACACTCAGACCGCAGCCCCCCGCGGCATGTGTGCCCGTGTCCCTGCCACTACATATTATGGTCCGTGTGGATCATACTATACTCTACTCAGTTGCTCTTCTCATCCTCATTAGTCGACTAGATATAGACCCTTCGACGGATGATTCCCCTACCAGCCAAGGGTCAAGATCCAGCATGTAGCAAACCTAGCTCTACGCAACGCTGCACACTGCAGAACAAAAATGCACCATACAAAGTAATGTTTTACAGGGCTCTAGCCCATTAATATCGTTGTCTTGTAATACAACCTCATCCATGAGAAAAGCACCCATGCAACCACCACCACCACCACCCCTCATAATAAAGAAAAACCGCCCGATCAAACTCCAGAATGAAACTCCAAATCCCCGAACCGTGCCATGCTATGATAAAAAGAAGGCCCACTGAATAGAAAGAAAAAGGCAAACGTGAAAGAATCAACCCCGCCGGAAGGTCAAAAGATCAAGCGCGGGTGGTGAAGTCAATCTCGTTGCTCTCAGCGGCAGCGTCCACAGCAGCGGCCTTTTCACAGGTGCAGGAAGCTGGAAAAAGCCCCAAGTTAGCTGATGTTTGGACGTCGCTGCTAATTGGTTCTGGACTTACTGGAAGATCTCTGGCCGCAGGGGCAGGAATCGCCCGAAATGGGGGTGTTCTCGCTGGGAGCACGCTCACAGGTGCACTGGCCGGCAGGGCGGGCTCCTGAAATTGTGTGTTAGTTTCAAAAAAAAAAAAAAAAGATACGGACTATCCGGGGCAGAACATACTGCAAGAGCAGCGAGGGCCGGAGACGGCGTTTTCGGTCGAGGCCTTGTTGCAGGTGCAGTGGAGGGCGTTCTCCTTGCCGCAGGAGCACTTGGCCTGGGCGGCGCAGACGCAGCTACCGTCGCCGGAGGTCTTGCAGCAGGTGGAAGCAGGGTTAACCATTTTGACTGTGGTGGAGGACGTTGAAGAGTCGAGAAGACAAAAGATCGGTTTGCGAGTGAGAGCGGTAGATACCAATGACGTCACGGGTAGGTGTCGGTTAAATTGATTTGATGTTTGATGCACGAAGATGCGATTGCAGTGTTTAGAGACGAAGTGACCGTTGAGTGGAAGATTGGTAGCTTGAGTATTTGAGGCTCTTGGATGATGATGGTTGGATAATTCATTGCAGGAAATTAACAGTATTTATATTCAACGTCGTTCAACTTTGTAGATTTCATGATTGGCAATCAGTGGCAGCTGATTGGATGGCTTACAAGAGCCTCCGTGCAGTCCCGTGACTGCAGTTGCATTTGTCGATCTTTGATTCGATCGTCGACCACAGACACAAAATCATTCCAGCAACATACCATGCTTGGGTTTGTAATACTCGCAAGCTGGTAGGTTTTTGCCACTTGGTGACCTGTAGAACTGATTGCTTTTACATCTCTTTTTATTGGATGGTGATAATGTACCTTCGATGAACCTGGTCATGGCCCTGCTCATTCCTAGTACAGCTGCCATTGGACCAAACAAACCGGGCCTTCTGCAACTGCCACCTTCTGCATGACTGCAGCATTGCTTACTAAGTACATAGTATTCGGAAGTATGCAACGGCCCCACATTAATATCAGGCCACTGGCGCATGATGTACTCAATACATACAGTGCTCGTAGAATCTGCCGCGCTAGGGGTCGTCTCAGCTCAATGTCATGGAGTGCGGAGTGCGCAATTGTGCAAATAGTAGACAAGCATTGATGGCAATCCAGATAATTAGACTAGAATTTAAGTGTTGTATACATATAAACCCAGGAAAGCCACCCAAGTCCAAGAAAAAGACACGACGCATGCTAAAATGAAACGATAAAAAAAGCAACAGGGCTGAACGGAAGGCCCTCGAGAATAAAATCAGAAAAAGCAGTTTTGACGCCATGAAACGTCCGGTCCCAGCCCCGAGGAACAGAATCCGGAATGCAGTGATGATAACCCCCTTTTTCCTTTAAAATCTTTTTGTGACGGTCCCAAAACAGAAGCAAGCCAAGACGATGATTAAGATCAAGACAATATGTATATATTCCGGCAGACGAACGAAGTGCCGATATGTGCAGTGCACGCCAGAGGTAATGGGAGGAGCGGTTGAAGGCAACGATTAAATAGGTATGAAGAACCGGGCAGATTAAAGGGCGGTGTATGGTGAGAGAAGGATGGAAAGGAGATTTCTGAGCAGGCCATCGGGAGATGTGTTAAAGGTAGTTGGCATATTCGAAGGTCTGGTTGCCAAATTTGGCCCTCAAAGGATCGATCAATTGCGGCGGATTGTTGATTCGGTCTTCTGCAGTGCTGACCACCGGTCCTTGGGAAACACTACTGGCTTCCGACGGAAAGGAGGCAGGAAGGCTCATACTGGAGGCGTTGGCTTGGCTATAAGGCATGGCCGTATTCATATGGTATGGGTGGTGGTCGTATGAATAGGGTCGGTAGTCAGGCGCCTCCGAGACCGGGATGGATTGCATGGCGGGTATCTGCCTCCCATGTTGTTGCATATGTGCATTCATGTCAATGCCGCCGAAGGCCTTGGGTGCTGGCATGGCTAATGGAGAATGGTAGGTGTGCGCTTGCTGGTCTATCGCCATCCTCATTAGTCTCAAATGCTCGATGATGTCATGGGAAAATGTGGTTCGCAGGAACTTACTATGCCCATCGACGTTATAGTGAGGTTGTTGGTCCGGCTGTCCAGTCGGGGATACAGAGCCCTCGATGGCCCGCTGTTGGTCATACCCTACAACCATACCGTTCGCAGACCTATTGAGACCATATTCCACGGGGCGACGACTGTATGCCATACTCGGATGCACCAACGGCTCGAGCCCGGGTCTTGAATATCGCCCAGGGTAGTGAAGTCCATTGTGAAACGAAGCCTCGGAAAAGCTGCTGGATCTTGGGAACGGGAACGCGCCGCGGTTATGTCGGTTCATGTCGGTAAGAGGTGTATGAGCGCCCCGATTCGCCATGGCAGCTGTATGTGTATAATCATTAAAGTGTCGATCCGGTCCAGCTGAAGGGAATCCATTTGTTGTTGATGCTGAGCTGAGAGGCGAGATCACATAATCGTCATCATTCCGAGGAATCCCATCGGTAAGCAGCATCTTCAATTCGTTAGTATCCTTGCCATATGTGAATGTACATTGGGGAGACGCAACAGGTGCCTCTGAGGCTGTTCTGTGATCAAACGGCGTCCGTAGCACTTGGGTTGTATCGAAGTCATCTGGCAATGCTCTGGATTTCAGGATTCGCTCCCGGTCGTTGCTTGTGAGTCGCTTAAGCTTCGCCCGTCTGCATGGAAAGTGTCAGCCTCACAGCTGCATGATAAGGAAACTCAGGTGTGGCAGCGTATACCTGTTCTGGAACCAAACTTGAACTTGCCGTGGCGTCAAGCCAGGAATCTCTTTGGACAGCCGTTCTCGATGAGCAGCATCAGGGTGTGCCTGACGGGTGAATTCACTCATCAAGAAGCGGGTTTGATTATGGGTCAGTCTGCCGTATCTTGTTAGCAACCCGACGAAAACGGTCCATGTCTATGATTTGCGCACCGGAATCTCTTCATCTTCTTCTTGTCGTGTTTATCGGGTGACTGTTTCTTGTCGCCATTTTCGGACGACGCAGCTCCTTCATCTGATGAAACCATTGCGGCATCTCCATCCTCTTTCTCCTTGTCATGCGCTTCTTCAAGTTTGAACTCAGGTGTTGTCTCTTTCGCATTCTGTGAAACGTCGGCTCCTTCAGCATGTGGATGATGAGGTTCGCTCTGGTTGATTTTTTCCTGTCCCATCTGAACCAATGACTCCGTCTCCGTGCCTGTGTTGTGGTTCACTAAGTTATTATGGGGATTTGTGGCCCCAATGAGCCTGACTGGGCTAGATGAGCCGGCGGCAGCAATCGCTGGAAAGGCATTCTCAGCCTTAATCACAGCGGGCTGCATGTCGGCCGAAGGCGTCTTTGTGGGCTCGCCTTCTCTCTCCCACGGCCCGGGCAATTTAGAGGGGATAGCCCTCGGCTTCAGTGCGACTTGCTCGCTGCTATTCCAAGAAGCTGTCGACCAATGGTTGGTGATGCCGGGAAGATGTGAAGTAGAAGGTGGTGATAATGAGGACAACCAAACACAGGGCCCGCTGATTGACATGGTAACAGAGGATATGGACCGGTATACCATGCACAGATAGTAGAAAGAACAGCTGTATGCTAAAGGTGGAAGAGGCCAGGCGTACTGCAGCTGCGAACGCAGATATAGAATCTAACTTGCAACCCAGATGCCAGACCAGGGATGACAGAGTGGGTCTGCACGAGCTGTCGGGGCGCTTGCTGAAGATGCACTGGATCTCCGAGGACGGGTCGAAGACACGAAAGAAAAGAGGAGTAAATGGCAAGTTCTTTGCGTGTGAGACGCAGCAAGTAGTCGACACAGCAGCGTGGACTTTTGACGGCGGGCAAGCGAGAGCAAATGAACGACAGCGCTACCCTAGTAATGATCTCCCCCTTGACTTACACTCCGGGGCGATAAAGGAGATTCTCGGCCTCCGCTAGGACCACTGACGAACGGCAAGAAATGAAAGGTCGATCCCTTTGCTGGGTCCAGGATTCAACCGGAGAGGGGGTGGATTGTTACCGGACAGTGGGTAGGAAGGTTATGGAAGAGATTAAACGGTGCCTAGCCCAAGCGGGTAACAAATGCACGATCTCGGGCAGTGGAAATAACGGAGGACGTTAAAATGCAGGCCCTGATCACCTCCGGCCAGTGCGAGAGATCCACTTTCAGGTTGGCCACCGCAAGCACAAAACCGTGCTAGTAATGCAGCAGCGCACACGACGGGCAAGCTCCTCCCACGAACAAGTGAGGGGAGGCTGAGAGGACGAACGAGAGACCAGGAGGACAAGAGAGAGGAGGGGGGAGAGGGGAGGGGGGCAAGGGACGAATAATCTTCAGGTCCTCGTACAGGGTGTTATAGCAAACGATAGGTAGATGCCAGCTGCTAACGCGGAGAACAAACTCAAAAGAATGAGGGAAATGAAACTAAGACCGACAGGAACGAGCGTAAGAAAACAGGAAATTAAATGGAACGGGCCACAGCTTGAAGGTTCGGTACACGGAGATCCCAGGCCATCCTACGATTGTCAACTAAACCTCCGGAGGCGTAGCGCCTACTGAGCCATCCAGGACCAGGACCGGAGTGACAATGAAGGTGGGAACGAGGGTGGAAGTGGGAATCCAAAACGGGCTGGGGAGAACCGGGGGATACTACCACAATGGATAGGAGGAGGATCCAATTCAGTCTGGCTGCTGTCGTCGTCGTAGTATCTTCGGGGGAGGTCGACTAGTACTAGTCAGCAACCACAGGAATGACAGCAGCAGCTGTAACCGTGTGGGAACACTTGCTGGAGAACGTCGTCATCAGACACGGTCCTGACCAACGAAGGAGCCTGAGATGACCACGCTCCGAGGCACCAATGGCCGGTAACTGGCACACCGCAAAGAGTTGACTGGGATTTCGGCTTACAAGTGAGGAGCAGGAATTCGATCTCAATGAAGGCAATACGTGGTAGGAGGTGGTGACTATGAGAATAGAATTGGTAGATGGGAAATGCTCAGAGTGTAAAAAGTATCCATGTAGAGTGTCAAATTCGACGGGCACTGTAAAGTGGCAACGTGAAGGGTCAAGCCGGGGACGTTCCCTACAGGCGTGATATGCGGAAGAGGGACTGACAGCCCTGCGGACGAATGATGCAGACGATCATGGAAGAGCGTGGCTCGTCAGGTCCAACGGGAGAGCACATCGCCCAGAGCTCACGCAGGGTATGAATGAGGCGGGAGGGACAATCGTCAACCGTTCCTACGCCATTCATGTCCCGCGCTCCTCATTGATTGTAAAATTTCCGACGTGGAACCGGCGCCCGCAACCTCTGCATCGCATCGTGCGGGTCATTCAGAGTCTGGGACAGGTCCTTCCTAGTGCCGAATCCACCGGTTATCCTGGTCGTCAGCCAACCGCAGTAGGAAAGGACCGAATAGACCCTGGTTATCGACCTGGCTCATCCAGTCACAGTGTGCCGTCTTCCCCTTGGGACAGTAAAGATGGCAATCGGCGGTACGCACCATGTGGAAGTGCTGCCGACAGCACTAGTCGGGCGTTGGCTGCTCCATAACCCGCCGGACACCGGGCATGGATCGACTCATCGAGATTTTTTTTTTTGGGGGGGGGGGGGGGGGGGGGGGGGGGGGGGGGGGGGGGGGGGGGGGGGGGGGGGGGGGGGGGGGGGTCATTAGGTTAGGGAGCCACTTGGCGATATCCCCACCCACCTTAGCCACCATGGCACCAACAGTCTGGTGGTGTGAAACAATTGACACGTGAGAAACAGCGAGAGGGGCAAACGAGCGAGCAATCTGAGGAGCTAGCCAGGGGAACATTAGACAGGGGCTACTATCACGGAGAATGGAGAGAGGGATTTGACTGCATTAAAGGGAGTTTGAGCGGATCGAAATCCCCCCTCCCATCTCCTCTTCAGCGTGAGCAATACACAATGAAATCTAACCAACGTCAAATCGTATAAGACCAACAGGAAATTAGATTGTCGTCTTGTCATGAAAAGAAAACACCGAGGCTCTGGAGAAAAAACCCTCGAGGTGGAGACGGGGCGACAAACCGTCCATCGGGTCATCGCATCTTGGGTACGATCCAGCAAAAATACTGGTTGAAGCGATAACCTTACCAGACTGTCATCTCAGGTACCGGTCAGAAAGTGTACCGGGCTTTTTTTTTTTTTCTCTCGACGGGCGTTCGTATTGTTGGTGTGTATGTGTGTGTGTACTCTAAAAGTCAGGAAGTGCATTTCCGCCCGGTCTCCACCGTACCAGGCGGGCAGGGCGGAAGAAGACACCGAGGTTGCCAGCATCATAATTTTCATCTTGTCTCTCATGATGATATCTTCGTTCTGTAGCTGCTTGTCGCGTCATTGTCAGACTCAGACAGTTTGATTCCTGTCACAGAGGAGTTGACGAGTAACGATCAAGGGGAGGGGGAAGCTAGTAGTTTGGC